CCATCCATCCATCCATCCATCCATCCATCCATCCATCCATCCATCCATCCATCCATCCAATATTCCGGGGAACATCTGCGTTCACTGCAAAACACATGCAGACTACCTTAGAGGGAATATCCTGGACAGGTCGTCTTTTGATTTCAGCACCATGGACAGCAACATTATGAGTCCATCAGCCATAGAATTACTAAAACCTTACATATTTACAGGTCTGAAGACTTTTAATAGTACAGGTTAACCATATTGTATCATAAATAATTTAAAACATTCATAAACATGATTAATTAATGTATGAGTAAAGCGAAAAAGTATTTTGCACATGCTCAAGATTTAACCATTGCTTTCTTGCCGATAAACTGATGATGACACACCATGATATGTCCCTTTAAATCTCCAAGGACCATAATGCTTACTCCAGCTCCATTTGCGGTAACATAAACTGAGTTTATCACAGCTTCATTATGCAATGCAGCTTAATTGCAATATGCTAATTGGTGAATGCTAAAGTCAACCCTGTTGTAAGTTTTTTTTTGTAAAAGTAACCATACCCCACAATTTTTTTTTTAATTCTTTCAAGTTAAAATAATAAATCTCAATAAATTTTATGAAGATAAGTTGATTAACACAAAATAATATCTATCTGTAAAGAAAAAAAAGGGAATCAACATTTTAAATATTTTAACATTATTGTATTTTATGTTTTAAAATTTTTGGCCTGCTCTTGTATTAATGGCCACTAAGATACTAAAGGGTAGATTACACTTTTGCAACTGCACTTATCAAATGTCGCTTGGGTCTGGTCGCGAACCAGTTTTGCTGGTATGCTGCTGCACTGTTGGTCTGGAATTTCTAGGGACGCACAGCAGTCTCCCGACTGAGGGAGCCTAATCGAAAACTCACGAGAACTTCGGTGGATGGTCACGAGAACTTTGCCGGCGCCGATGGGAGTGTTTATCTTCCAAAACAACAATGGCACGTCTCCAAGATATCACGATCACAGAGATGGATCTAGATTTGCTAGACATCAAAGAGGAACAGGTTCTGTTAATGGAGCGAACCTCCTCAATTAACCTTTTGTCATAGTTGTCCATTGTAGTCTTGCTTAGTTTTTAAAAATGGTGCGCCTCGGCACTGAATCAAGAAGGACGACCACACAGACAGCCGGAAAGGCATACCAAGGACCAATCACAGCTGCTTTTTGGCTGAGCACTTCCGCTGCGTGGGTTTGCGACCGTCCGGCGCGTAGTCAGGATTTTTTTTTAGGTGCACGATGACAGCTGCAGAACCTCTGCTTGAAGTATAAATTGGCTTTAAATCTGCCTAGTGGTGGATGGTGGATCGGTCTTGAATAAGTTGTTAAAATAAACAAAACATTTGTGTGAATGAACTGAATCAAAACAATATCAGTAACTGATTTGTTACTCTCTATGTTTAGTTAAAATCAGCTCCAGCTGGTCCTGAGGGAACTTCTATTAGTCACGCAACGGCATCAGGTACTCCGACTTAACAGCTCCATCCACCCTGGTTATCCCAAGTTAGCCTTGATACCCCAAACTAATTGCTAAGCTGTCTAAAGCTAAGGGAGTAAGTTATCTATGTTAAGCTAACCTACTAGAGACAGAGAAACAGTGCCAAGGAGAGATATGTGCCAAGTAGTACTTCATGAAAATGACATTGATTCACTCTCTCTGGTACTTTAAGAATCTGTGGTGATTCTTAATGGGCTGTAATAGAGTTGGTTCAATCACTCACTCACAGTACGGAGGTCATACTTGCTGAGAGTCAGGAGTAATTCATGGTGCTGGATTCCCTCAATCCCTAAGTCTACAAACAAGTAGCTGATGTGTTCACAATGCTGTGTCCTGAATGAATCATGCAGTACAGAAATGACACTGAGTGGTGCTGTTTCTCCTACTGTACTTTGCTTTTAGGGAACATAAAAGTCTGTGATGGACTGGTGATCTGTCCAGGGTGTATTTTGGCATTTCACCAGCATTTGTACCAGCCTCGTGACCATGACAGATAAGATAAAGATGGATGGATGGATGGATGGATGGATGGATGGATGGATGGATGGATGGATGGATGGATGGATGGATGGATGGATGGATGGAACATAACACTTTATTTGCAGAAAAGCCATACTTATTAACAGAACATCTTATAGGGGTGCTCCAATGCTATCCTTATCATACCTGTATGTTAGACAGAGAACCAGTTCTGAGGACGGCTACTCTGGATTTTAGTGGCATTTTAAAGGATTTTCTTTGTAAAGCAACTGTGAAAGCAGCATTTCACTGTTCTGTTATTGCGCAACTCAAGAAAAACCTTCGACTTTACCACATGTAAACGCTCCCTGGCTTCTGTTTGTAAAAAATACACAGTACATAAATTACTTTGTTATTTATTTGTTTGCATGCTTTGAATTAGTTATTTAACTAAATACATCTTACCTTGCACTGGTACGCACGGGGAATTTCGAGCTCTTTGATTGAGACACATCGATTTTTAAAATCATTAGAGATCTAGCAGACCTTGTTTGTGCTGAATATTGATGTCTGAAGGGTTGATGTTTTTGCTTCATGAGACAGATGCATTTTGATTCTTAACAATCAGTCCCTGCTGGGAGAAAAAAGAAGTGAAGGTTACAATTAGCGCAAAGTCTTTCCTCAGGTTTTAATGCAGCTGTAGTGCACAAGCAGAGCTGCCTAAGCCCACTGAGAGCAGCGTCACTCCTCTGGCATATTATCCAGCGTCCAGTGTGAGCGCCACACACACACCGAGACGGAGGACGTCAGGATCGCACCCCATCTTCAGTGCGAAATGCTCCGCGTATCGGATCTCACTCAAGCTTTCCTCCCCGAATCCGTCCGGCGTTTCGGCGAGGAGGCATTCTCACGCTCCGGTATACAAGCAGGGTAAAGAACTCCAAGTGAAGGAAGGAGGTTTAATTTAGAATAGGTATTGAAAAAAATTAAAAATAAAAGTGGAAAGAGGTTTCACCCCCTGTCCGCAAGTAGAGGATGCAAGAGGAACCATCACAAAGACGCAGCATCTGCAACTTCAGGATTTACTTATAAAGGCGCTTTTTTATTGGAGGTCGTGGAATTATCAGCGTGTAAACATGCCTGTAAGAAGAGGTCACGTTGCGCCACAAAACACGTTCCTTGGATTAATCATTAGGAAATTCGAGGGGCAGAGTGAGTATTCTTTTTAAATGCCCTACATGTATTTCAACATAAGAGTAATAATAGATTCTCACCTTCTTTTCTCTCAGAAATTCAAAAAATAGGAATAAGAATGTGTTCATTTTTTCCAGCGTTATGTATATGTATATGCAATATGATTTTTGTGTATTTTTTCATAAATAAGTGGAGTTTGTTTTCTTCATTACAGATCGCAAATTTGTAATAGCCAATGCCAGGGTTGAGAATTGTGCAATTATCTACTGTAACGATGGTTTCTGTGAGATGACGGGATTCTCAAGACCAGACATCATGCAGAAGCCTTGCACCTGTGACTTTCTCCACGGGGACCTCACCGAAAAGGAGGCGATCAACCAGGTGGCGCAGGCTGTGCTTGGCTCTGAGGAGCGCAAGGTGGAGATCACCTACTACAGGAAGGATGGTGAGTAACTGGCATGGAAAAGCAGCAGCGGATCTTGCATTAGTGGCACCCTGGGGCACATCAGACCTCTTTCTGGCTTAGTATAGAAAGTATAGAATACTTTACACAAAGTTGCATTTAGATTAACTTTGAATTAATATAGCCCCATTAATTATGGGCTTCTCTGTTGCATTCAGTGTTTTCCACTTTTCATTGCCTCTCCTTTATATTGCTCTAATGTGCGCAGAGTTTTTCACTGTCTGGGAACAGAAATGGGAAGGGTACAAATATCAGGGCTTCAAAAACATACATATGAGATGCCAGTGTGAGGACATATTTTACTGAGTTGCTTAGTTTGTTTTAAACTGTTTAAGGATGGATTGAGTAGCTCTGCCCTATCCCCTCTTGCTGCTGCACAATAGTCAGCTGGCTGAAAGAAAGCTGTTACTTTTCCCCCTCACTTACAGTACAAAAACAAAAATGTAACTGTTTGAAAATATTACAGTAAATATTACAGTGCGAGAAATTCTCTTCATTTGGAAATATTAAAATAGTCCCCTCTTTATTCTCATATAAACTCTCCGTCTCAAAGTCAATACTTTCTTAAAGGCAACTACAAAACCAACTTCTTGTGGAGGTATCTGTTTCCAGTTTAAATCCAAGAGCCTGACTAACACCTTTAAATAAACTGTGTCCACTGCTAATATGGGCAGAAACGTGTGCCATTAGAAATTGCCCCATTCATGTAATTTGCAGTTAAATAGTAAATTAATTTCACTACATTGAAACCTAATCTAACAGTGTGAAACTGAATTAATTAGCATTTGTTGCATTTTGGTTTTTAATTCAGTTATACAATTAGTTTTCGGCTTGAAAATTTTGTTTCTTTGTGTTAGGCAACTTAGGCCTCATGTAGGAAGTGTGGGTATGTGCAAAAATATTGAAGCGAAATCTTTCAAGCACAACTTGGCATGTACATAAAAAACATGTGAATACATGCGTTATCTCACACAAACTTTAAACCTGCTGTGAAAATGTGATGTAGCAAAGCAAAATGTTTAAATCTAAATTAACAATCTATAAACCCCATCTAAATACACTGAAATATGACTCCTTTTTATTTAACACAAGGGTTGAAGAACTAGATGCTTTTTTTGTCCATGAATATGAACTTTCATGACTTAATGTTTTAAAGGGACTAGTAGCAGGATAAGGAAATGAGAGTCTTGAATGACATGAATGGCAATGCGGGTAATGGCAACTGCAGATAGGCTATTGTCATAGTCCTCCACTAATAGATAAACAATGACGATTTCCTTTATCAAAGCTGTTGGGGGCACGCATGCAGCGTCAATTGCCGTCACATCCCTATCCCTTCTGCACTGGAAGCGCATTGTGAAAAATACAGCCTATTCAAGCCAATAGAAAGATACGAGGGTGGGCTCGTTGTGGTTTTGGATTTTAAGGCTTCATTGGCCATTAGCATTGGACATGTATGTGTATTCTTAAATGATTTCTTCTTGCAGTTTGTTTACCTATAACCCATTTACGGTTACTTTCATTCTAACTAAAAAGGCAAGTTTATTTTAATTGCATATTTCAGTAAAAAGATGCTTCAAAGTGTTTTAGATGAATTAAACAGTAGTTGAAATAAGTTTAGATAATAGGAGCAAAATAAAATCTGAATTAAAGCAAGGAAAGATAAAAAGCATGTTAAAAGCAGGTATTAAAGCAAGTATATGTTTAATGGAATGCAGTATGTGTTCCGAGTTTTGACTGAACTGCACATAATGATGGATGGCTTATTAGCTGGTTTACACTGACCAGCCTCACAGAGGGGCCCTAGGAGGAACCTTTGGTCCAGCACGTCACTGCGTTATGTGCAGCTGGAGTGTTTGCAGCTGATGGACAGTTCTGTTTTTTATCCGTCAGCCCTAAGCCACCTCACTTCAGGCAAATGGGATGACCTCACTTAATATTATTCAATATATATAATGCAGTTTATTATTTAATATAAACTCCACCTGAATGGACAGAATTATGATATAAAGTAAGAATTTAAAAACGTAATCTATGGTTGTCCTCATTCTGCTATAAGGACACCATCTGTTAATGAATTTTTGCTTTTATGAATGGAAAGCTTTTTTATTGAGTAGATGTACACCTATTTGGTGCTCACAAATGTAAAGGAACAGACTTCAAGCAGGCTTTGTGTACAACTTCTTACTTCCGTTCTTTCTTTTTTTATTTGAGGTCCTGAATGGTTATAAACATTGATTATACTTTACATAGTTTGTGTAGGCAACATGGGGGCATTTTTAAATAAACAACTCAGTTAGTTACTTTTTATGTGACAAGCAAGGATCATGCTGCACATTTTTGTGAACACAACTGGCACCTTTGTTGAGCATTATAACGTGAGATTTCCATTTCTATTTAATTGATCCTAATTATACAGTGCAACTTTAGAGAGTCAAGAGTGTTATATAGTTGCATGACTATGTGTGAATATGTAGCTCCTCAGAACTTTCTTATCAGTTTGCCTCAAGGCAGATGGGAACAGGTTAGCTAGTCCTTCAGCCTCTTGGATCCATTTTAAAATACAACAAACATAGCCACTAATATAAAAGCCCTAATGGCTATCTTCACAGTAATTTGTATATATTCAATATATTAGCTTGTAATCTCTTTGGAATACCAGTCAAACTACCAAAGATCATCTTAGCATGTAGGACGAGGCAAGTCCGCTGGAAGTCGGAGTGCTGGGGGTGCTGTAGCACCAAGAGGGATACTTTAAAAAAAAAATGTATGAAAATACTTTGCACAATTTATAAATTTCTTAATAATATTTTAGGAAATTATTTTTATTTTTATTTTACTATTAGGTGTATTTGGATTTTTATTATTATTTTGAGGCATAATCAACACAAGTTCACTGAAGTTACGTTGTCATGGCAATGTCAATCAAGCTAGTGGTGACTATAAGAGATATCCCACACGCTGCAGCAGACTACTAAATTTACATAGTGTAATAACGGAAACGAGGAGGAATTATGGCACAGAAATGCATTTCAGATTCATCCGCTCATCAGAGACTTTATCTCCATGAACCCAGAGCGCACCTCAACAGTTGAACCATGTTAACAGAGCACCCTGCCTGTAGCTGAAAATAAGAGCATGGTGCCGCCGTGCACTTTCATATCTATATGTGCAGTTTAACGTAACCATAGTGTTTTATAGTGTTATTTTGATCTTGTTTTCTTTGTGTAAAGGAGAACTGTTCATTAATGTTTAAATAGTGTAATCATATAATTATTTCCTTGCGGTTTACATAAAGGGATTTTGGATCTAATAGAGTCATGTATGGCATAAACAGAGTCACTCAGGTTCATGCCAACTGACCAAATCTACGTTGTTATGAGACCTGAGAACTGATGATGTCTAAGTGTTACAGACACTGGTTGGTCATATACAGTTAATTGTATATGACAAAGTCATAAATCTCAATCTATTTACTTATTTTAATTTTTATTGTATTTTAAATAGGCCTATGGTTCATAGGTCTTTTCTCCGAAAAAACAAAGACATTTTCACAGCGCCACTGTTTAAAATTACTTCCAGCGGCCATGGGACAAGGGAAATACAGAAAAAAACTAAAGAGTGTCAAACAAAGCATTCAGTAGACTTTACAACAAAAGGGAAACCTGCTCATCCTTGGCTGGAAGTCTAAATAAATGACCAAATTCTTATTTTTGGCACAACTGACTGATGCTAAGACCAGAAAGGCTCATCGTCCATTTCAGAATCTGACACTGAGTGAAGATGCTATCGATGCAAACCATGAAGCATCCTTTTTTACCTGCTTACAGTACGCCTTGTTGCAGCTCCTGTCTTTATCCCCCAAGTCATCACTTATGTTGGTTGGTTGCAAACATACAGTACAGAGTCAGTTACACGGAGCACAGCACACATTACCCTAGATAAAAGAAAACAATGAGGGCAGTCAGCTGTAGCTCCAGCCTGTACGTTTAGTCTGAAGGTAATGTACAGTGTAAAAGCCTTTAATGATCCTGAAAAACAATGAAGGTTCTTGAAATCTTACTTGCACGACAATAAACATAAAAAATCATAATGAAAAGGATTATCTTGAAAATAGTACATCTACCATGTTTCTCCAATTGTTTAGATTACGTCACTATGGGTGTGTGAAAGGATATTGCAAAAAATACAATGATTTGGATATTATTTTTTAATCTGTTTTTTAGACTTTTATATCAATGATTAGCAGCATGGTCGTCATTAGTAAGTCTGTTTCCATGTGTATCCCCTACAAAATGCACATCCTTACAGTGGTTTTTACATTTCTAAAGGTAGACAAGCACTCAGAAACTCTGCTTTTCCACAAAAGACCGAAGTGGGTGTGTTAAAGGAGGAACTTTGCTGCATTGCATTCCTCTTTCCATGTATTCATCGCTATGCCTTCTCAGTTCTAATTTCTTTACTGAAAATTTTTGGTGCAACTTGATTATGAGTATTTCTAGTTCATGAATGATGTGGTGTTTCATTTATCAAAGATTGTGTCAGATCTATACAAAGAGTGTGAATATATCTAAAAGTGGACAGTGGTAGAGTTGATGTGAGGGACTGTATGTTTCAACGCCGTTTGTTTTTGATAGATGGCATCCTTTTCTATGGAAAATTTAGTATGCAAGTTTCAGGATTCTTTATGCATCCTGATATCCCTGAACATCTCTATTCTACTGTGCCAAAGTGTCTTGCTTCACTTTTTATTCACACCATAAGAGAAGATTAGAACAGGGGTTTTATAAGGTTATAGATGCTGAACAGGATTTAAGATTTGATGAATTGTGGGAAACAGTAATGAAAGTGACAGATTATACAAAACAGATGAGCCTAGCCACAGCGACTTCATCCTCCCCTCTTTATAGACAGGCATTTTGTTCTAGTAATTCTACTCTGCTGTGTTACATTTGACTGTTGAAGCCACTGAGTGCTAATTC